GTTTTACCAACACCAGTTGTTGAAGAGGCTGTCATTTTCCCATTGTACATCCATGGCTCCTTTATCGTATAATAATTGGCCATATATGTGTGGGTTTATAGCTGGGCTCTCTATGCTGTTCCATTGATCTGTGGGTCTGTTCTTGTGCTAGTACCAAATTGTTTTGATTACTATGGCTTTGTAGTAGCCACGTTACTTCTTAAAAGGATAATTCCAACTCTGAACATTCCTCTAAAGTCAATGGAATAATTTTGATGCCACTGCTGGCAATAGAAAAAAACAAAGAAATAAGTGATCCAAACTTGTGTTTGTATCATAGAGACCACAGATCTGATGAAACCTATAATTCCAGAAAGGATGTAGAACCTCAGAACATGTTGCATACAATTGCAGTTGGTTCAAAGACTCCTGAGGCCCATTTGTGGACTCTGCCCATGGAGAGTAAGAACCTGATCAAAAATAAATAAGATCACATACAAAAATCTCAGTCCAACTTTAATAAGGAGGCCGAAGCCATTACAATTTTTCTACCAATGCTTTTCTGAACACAAATAAATGCATTTCTAGTTAAGTGTTCACTGTTCACCATTTTTAGCATATTCACTTTAAATTATATTAAAATTTTACATGTTGAATTAAAAAATTACAATGTAATTAATGTGTACAATGACTTCATGCCTATTTTATAGACTAAGCATCGTTTTATTAAGTTGTTATAGATGCTTCAATTTGTAATTACTTTGCTTATGTGATATTTTCATCATTTCATACCTTAAGCAAGAGCAAACTCCCAACTCAAACAATGTTCTTAAGAGAAAAACACAGTTTTATGCAGTGGTCAGTTTTTTTTTTTTTCAAAAATGCCCCTGGGTGAAAACGTGAATTGTCTAGTTTCATGCATTTTAGCCTTAGCCCCCCCACTACCTTAAGTGTCCCCCCATGAAAGAAATGGAACAGCAGAAGGACCTGGGAGTCCGTTCTGACTTGTGCTGGAGAGCTTTAAGCACGTTATTTCCATCTCCACGCTTCTGTTTAATCATCTGTCAAGGAGCAACGACAATATCCAGAGTAGTTTGGCAAGAACAGTTAAGGTTGCAAGAAGTATTGGTTCCGTGTGCATTATCCTGGTGTAGCTCAACAAATGCTTATTGATTGATTGGGTACAGTACCTGAGAACTGGCTCTGGTTAATTATCTAGCCAGGAAAAGGGACCCAGCTTCGTCTGCTGGATCCATTTAGAATTATGACTTTGCCCTTTGTTTGATGGGGGATCCCGTAGCCAAACAAATGAATAGTTAATTTTAAGGCAGGCAACTAGGAGGCTTTGGATGGAAACCTAATTCCCAGACAATGCATACATTATGTATAGACTGCCTTGACCTGCCTCTGCACTTGGCCTTCAGAGCAGGGCCCAGCACAGGATGATCATGGAAAGGTAGGGGAGGATGAGAGGTGGGGCAGGGGCGAATGACCCAGTTTAGAGCTTCACTCTCACAGTGCAGGGACGAGACTTCCAGGCCATAGGAGTCAAACACACAACTCGATTCATCATCAGGATGCCGCTGCTATGGTTACCTCTGCTGTAGTCCAGAAGGTAATCTTTCTTGACCCCTTCTGCAAGGCAGAGCATCTCAGGTTTTTAAGATCAAAGATCACTTGAAATGGTTCGGCTACTTTGGAAAACAGTTTGCAGTTTCTAATGAAGTTAAATATGTACTTGCCATGTGACCCAGCAGGCCCATTTACCTAAGTGCTATTTACCTAAGAGAAATGAAACATTTGTCCACGCAAGGACTTGTACATGAATGTTCCTAGCAGCTTTATTATAATAGCCCCAAACTGGAAACAACTCAAATCTTCAACTGGTGCCTGAATTAATGAACTGGGGTACATCCAGGTAGTAGAATTCTACTTGGTAATAAAAAGAACTGAAATCTTGATATATACAACATGAATGAATCTCAAAAGCATCATGCGAAATGGAAGAATTCAGGCAGAAAAAGCTAGATGATGGATATTTATGACATTTAAGAAAAAACAATGATGACATAAATATCAGTGGCTGTCAGGGGTTAGGGGTGGTAGAAGGGAGAGACTGCAAAGAAGCTTTTGGGGAAATTTTTTGAGGTGATAGAATTATTCTGTATCATGACTGTGGTGGTGGTTACATGGGAATATACATTTGTCAAAACTCTGACTTGTACTTAAAATAAAAAAATTTCATTGTGTGTAAATGATAGCTCAATAAAGCTGATTTTTAAAAACATTATGTGACTTGAAGCTATCATGTTTATCCTGCAGTAAGACCTGAGACCAGTGAAGTTTACTTGAGTTTGAGCTTAATTTTTCATGCAGGTCAGGGGTCCTCAAAAGAATTCCTAAGGACCTGCTCCTGAGCCCGTGGTGGAAAAGGCTGAGGTGGGTTTTTGAAACCAAAATTTATGTGTTCTCTGCTTCGGGAGTCCATAGGCTCAACGCATCTGGGGTCTCTTGGATGTGGACCAGAACACTGAACTTGGGGCTTCAGGGGACCCAGGGAGTTCTCCTTCAGATGCTCCCACATTCGTGCTGAACTTCAAGCCTTAGTGCTTCCCCTGGAGTAAGCATTGCCTTCCCAGAGCTCCCACCTGGAAAACAAGATCTCTTGCCACCAGGACAATGGTCATGAGCTATCCGGCTTCTAGCACCCTCTTTGAGCCTCTCAAGAACCTTGGAAGGAGGTTGTTGTGATTATACCCATTTTACAGGCAAAGAAACCGACTCTGAGAGCTTGGGGGGCTTCAGGATCGCACAGCCCTGAATCACCCAGATAGGGTCAGATCCCACCCAAGGTTTCTCTCTTCAGAGTCCTCACTTTCAGCAGCAAGGCTGGCCACCCAAGGGAACGGCTCTCCCACTTTTAAAGGACCAAGCCTACAAAGACGCCTCCTGGCCAAGATTTTCTAAAGACTAACGGCTCTGGGTGTCTGTGATACCCCAACAAGGAATGTATTTCAAAGTCCAACACAGAGTTCAAGGTTAACAATTCTTAAACAATTTTGAAAGGTAGTTATTACTCATTGTTCACTGTGGCCATAGAAAAACCTCCCTCAAGTCTACACAGCCTGTCTGTTCAGGCAGATAGTGTGATGGTTTCTGAACAATGAGGCCCCAGAGGCAGACTGCTCTGGTCACTTATGACTACGAGACAGGCTGTGTGGTCTTGGGTGGGTGACTTGGCCTCTCTGTGCCTGAGTTTTCTCATTTGTAAGGGAGGCAAAAGCTATTCCTACCTTTTAGTGCTAATGTGAGGGTTAAATGAGATCATATGCACAAAGCCTTGAGACCACGCATAGCACACAGTGCTTATACTATCAACGTAAGCTGTTGCTAGTGAAAGAAAAGAACCCTGAAGGCTTTTTTTGGCCTTGAACCCATGGATTTCTGAAGCAGAGAACATCGTGTAAGCTCTAGTTTTAGAAGCCTACATCAGCCTTTGCCTCCACAGGGTCAGAAAGCAGGTCCTTAGGAACTGAGGCTCACTGACCTGCACAGAAAGTGCCTCTAAAGTCAAACTGAAGCATCACTAGTGTTCACTTAAGTGCTGTGGATGTGACATTAGGACAGGGGTAGGCCTTGGGACCCTCTCAGCTCTCCCAGCTCTCAGCAGCAGATGGCACGGGAAGGGACAGCCTGAGACCAGTTCAGCTCTGGGCTGCAGCGGGGAGGCAGCTTCTGGACAAGGCTTGAATTCATTCCCGCATGTAGAAGAGAGTGGCCTCCTCCATCAAGGACTGGGGAAAGGGCGCAGAACCTCCTGTGTTGGGGTTTTTGTTCAGGCGTGCAAGCCCAGGGCAGCCAACTGTCCGCTTCTCCACTTGCCTTCTGGTCAGAGAGGGAGGAGGCATGGCTGTGTGCCTGAGCAGGGCCCCACGCTGGGCTGACCAGAACCCTCCCTGCAAACTTAAAATTGGGCCTGGAAGAGTCCAGGCTCATTTTGCTTCTCTCTTAGATGGAGGAGCGGTAACCCTGGGAGCTGCTGGCTGAGGCCATTCACCGCATGTGCCCCAGGATGCCTGCAAAGCCAGTCTTCAGGGAGAAGGAGAGGCCAGAAGCAGGTGGCAGGAGGTGACTTTCTGGATCCTCTAAGTCCAGGCTCTGCTTCTTGTCTCTTCCCCAAGGCCCAGCAGCATCCTTGGGCTTAGACTCCTTAAGATGCCCCCTTACAATATAGAATCCCTTTTCTGTCATCAACCTGTCCCCAGCTGTTTCTAGCAGTCACAACCACAGGAATCTTATTGAAAGCAATTTGAGGCAACTACCTCCTTCTGTGTCTTTCCCCCAGTGTGACTTGTCACCTTCCCAGCTTCCTAGGGGGCAGCCTCAGTCTGAAAAGGCTGCCCTACAGGCCTCATCAGCAGACAGGGAAGGCCCGCCTCCATCTCCTTCTGTGGCTCCTCCCTCTGCCCCCAGGCCTGTCCCCACCTCCTCCCTGGGATCTGCGCAGCCTTCTAACCGTGCGTCATCCCTGTTTCCCACACACAGAGGTCCCTAAATCAGGTGCCCTGGCTGCCTTCCTCCCAGAATTCCTGCCCCTTCTGTCCCATGTCCTTTTTGTCTGGTCCCAGCTTCTGAATTCGAGGCTCTGTGTGTCATGCCTGCAGGTGGTGGCTACAGTTTCGCAGGGCCTTCAAAGCCTTCTGAGGGCAGGCCAGTGCAGGAAGATGTTTTGGGAAAGGAGAAGTCTTCACAAGTTCTGAAATGGACTTGAAAGAGAGCTGCTGGTCCTGGCTGTTTCCAGCTTGCTGTGTGACTTCAGGTTTCAGTGGCTTCGGCAGCAGAATGAGAGAATCAGATGAGATCAGAGGCTCTCCAGGGAACCTTGTCCAGGTGCCTGGGTCATCTGTCATCTTGGAGACCGCAGAGATGGCGCCCGGGCCCTGGGTCTCCTCACTCTGAGTGGCCCCACTGCTACCTCTTTCATTCGTTGAGCATCCTTGCAAGGTGCTCTCTACGCCCAGGTTCCCTAAGGAGCAGTGTGAGGCAGAAGCCTCTGCGCTGACACTTCCTGAGGGAGAGCAGTGCCAGCGGGGGGGCTGGAGGGAGGGAAGAGGGGAGTGAGGCCTCCGAGGAGGGGGGCATGGAGAGCACTTTGCTGAGCTGCCACCCTGAGCACCCACTGATGCTGGATCTCACGGGACCTTCCTGAAAGACACTGCGTGAAGCTTCGGGCAGTTCATCTGCGAAGAGGAAAAGAATTGACCTGCCAACCCCAGTCTCTTCTTGGTCAAAGGTTCACCCCAAGGAGTGTCTGACACCCCTGCACTTTGGGGTGCAGTTAGCTTGTGCTGGAATGAAACAAGTGGAAGGACCTGGAAGAAGGGGTGCCTGAGGGGGTCTTGGGTGGCACATTGAAAAGCATCTAATGCAGCTATAATTGAAAATGGGCGAGAACATCTGCCAAGCCCAAGTGGCAGCAGCGGGCTGGGTAACCCCAAAGGAGCTTCCCAGCTAAAGAATCCCCTGATGCTCTTCAGTGACTCACAGAGCTGAGGCCATCTGTCCTGCTGCTGTGCAGGGAGCATGTCCCCAGGGAGTTATAAGCAAGCTCCCTGGAAATAAGTACCCCTCAGTGCCCAAGAGTTGGCGCCAACTTTGCTCTACCCCCCACATCACACACCCCCTAACGTCCATGTAATTTGAAAGCTAATGAGAATGGTGTTTTTAAAGAGTCCTGATGGGACAGGAGGATACAGGGACTGATAACCCCCAAATCCCAGGCTTGGGGAGTTTTCATCATTCATTCAGCAAGGCCTGGCCCCCTGCCAGCCTGGGCCCCCCTCCACTCAGGGGGCAGCTGCCAGCTCCAGGCGGGAGGCAGATTTGTCAGTATTGAAGGGACTGGAGGATTGAAGGGGCCAGAGAGGCTCCCTCCACACAGCCTCATCCTCTAATGGCTGGAAGCCCACCCCTCGCTGTCATTAATAATTACATCATGGGCATTCCATGCCCCTTCCTTCGGAGCCCAGCAGGCTCGCAAAGCCAGCAGAGAACGAGAGGTTAAGGACACCTCAATCCTTGTGTGGTGTGAACATAGATCAGTTTGCAGATGGAAGGCCAGACTCGCCAGAATTAAACCTAGGATCCAGTCTGAGTATTGTCATTGGCCCACCTGGGGTCTACACTTGAGCTCAGGACACGGGCAAGTTTATTCTTACAGCGGATTATTTTAATCAAACCTACCAAATTTCACTCTGAGACCATTAAATTTATTTGGGTATTAAAGTAATTAACTTTGTGATTCATGATCATAACATCAAGGAACCATCAGGAAAAAGATGTGCACGTTCATTTGTTTCCCACACTCTTGCTTCAAAGGAGGGCTGTAGCTGCGACGCTTCTTCAAAAGTCACCGTCATGACAAAGGCACACTTGCAGTCAAGCTAAAAACAGGTTACTTCCCTGAGTTTGATTGTAAATTTAGACCTTCCTACCTTTGGAGCCAACATTTCCACCTGTACTGGTTTCACAGAAGCGGTAGGTTTCTGCGGTTGGCTCGCATTTGTTGTTTTGGTGGGCTGCGCAGGTACTTCGGCGTTCTGACCTTTCTACAGAGAAAAGGTACTTTGGTGTTCTGAGCCTTCTACAGAGAAAAAGAAATGTGAACCAGGGGCAAGAGAGCCAGCGTCGCCCCCAGTACTACACACAACCAGCCCAGCGTGCACACGTACAGTCTTCAGCTTTGTTACCTTAGCTCCTTGTGTGGCTCTGGTTGTGACTTGATTTCCAATTTCTTCCAAAACTGCCCGTCTGATAGTCACATGACTCTTTGCTTTTGAATTCACTCCTGTGTAGATATTCTCCAAATCAGTGGGCACCTCAAAAAAAATATTAGTGAAGAATTGAGACAATTTTCAATACTTTGCTAAAACCAGATAACCGAAGTCAGAATTAACTTGGAAAAGGTGAATAAGCTGAGACCTATGTACAAGGGGAAAAACTACATTTTAGGAAGTCTAAAAATGCTATTTGTGATTGATAACACCACTCTAAATCAGGCAAATCATATATCCACCTCATCTATAAAATAAATAATCCCACTAAGAGCTTCACAGACTTGTGATTATTTCATATATAGCACCCATGTCACTTGTTAGAGACTTGTTAGAGACACTTGTTAGAGACACTTGTGTGTCTATTAAAAAACTTCCTTTACAGAGCTTAGTAGCAAGCACAATTAAGATACAATATTAGAAAGCTGTAATTGGTCTGTTTAAAAACCAGATGTTTGAAACCCAAACTGCCTTTGACTCAGGCCATGCTAGAGATGAGAAGTGCTCCTGTAGAAGTGGTCTTTAGATACATAGCCTTTTAAAATAAGGTTGCACAGCATGGACTCTCTCTTATATTAAGGGTACTTAGAAAGGAAATGACTTTCATGAGTAAAATAGTTTTACTCTCAAATTCAGAAAATGTTGGAATTACGTGAAATACAGTTAGCTGACCTTAGCTTGCTTTAGACAGAATGCACTTGAAAACAGAAATGCTGGAAAAACAAAAATTTTCACTTTATTATAGAATTGCTAAACATTTCACGAGGACAAACATCATGCCCCATCCCAGGGAACTGGGGGTTGTAATCCTAAAAAAGTCTCCCAGCAAGGTGTTGAACGAACCGACCAAAATAGACAGAGGAGCAAAGCAAAAGTCAAGCCTTCCCTGAATGGAAAGAATTCAGCTATGAAAGAACTTTATGGAATAGACTGGACAAAAATTATTTGTCAGTTTGACTTCGAGCCACACAAAGATAGGAATTAAATACTGAATGTATTCAATTTAGGTGTCTCAAAAGTCACACTATTCAATTTTTCCAGGAGCCATTGCCAATTCTGAAAAGCGTTTGAAAATTTATTGTTTATGAGTTGAAGCCTGGTAATCTAAGTTTCAATCCATCTTAGATTTATTGGGGAAAATTGCCAGTTTCTAACAAGCGTCATAGCCAGGTGGATGGAACTCAGATGTGTCAGGCCCCTCTATGTTTTCAGCAAAGGAAAAGCAGATCCAGATACAATTCAAGCCCACAGAAAAAAATACCCAAAAAAGCCAATTAACACTTTGAGTTTTGCAAAGATGAAGTAAACGAATTTGGACTCTTCTCTTTCCATTTGCCGTATTGCTCCAAATTATGTGCAAAATCTCTATTACATTGGAGTTAAGAAGTTATTATTTTTTAAGACAAATCTACATATTAATGAATTTAGCCTGGAAGACTTTGTGTGCAGAAATAATTGGAAAAAATTGTACAAAGTAAAATGTGAAACATGTGAAAAGCAGCCACGGCGGTTGTTGGTCAGTGAGCACACTTTACTGCCTGCGGGGTTTCTCCCAGGCCCCTCTCCTCCGCATCCCCACCACGGATCCCCTGGCCGCCAAGGAGTTGAGAGCAGAGGCAGGAAACGCCAGGAACCTGAATTTAGGCGGCTCTCTAACAGCGAGCCCTCGGGACCGCTCGCGGAGCGCTAGGCCCCGGGGCCCGGCAGGCCCACGTGGCACGTGGCAGCTCAGCGAGAAAGAGGGCGAGAGGCGGTCGGGGGGCCGCGTGGCCGAAGCCCCTGTCCCGTGCTGGGGGTCGGCGGGCCCACTCACCGCCGGGCGTCGGAGCAGCGCCATGAGGAACGGGGCAGGCGAGAGCGCAAGCCCGGCCCAGGGCCGGACGCGGACTGGGGCGGGAGGGCACAGGCTTCCGCGGCGCCGTTCGGGCTGCGATCCCGGCTGCACCGCTGGGGATCTTCGCGTGGTCGCCTCGTTCCAGGATTCAAATACCGCGCCGCTCTCGCCCCAGTGGGCGGCCTTTCGTACGACGGGCTCCTCCCATTGGTCAGGCCGGAGGCGTTTCCGCAAGCTGATTGGCTGAAAAAAAGTCTCGGCCTCGAAGATAAATAAATTGAAGTGGCTCTTTGGGAAAGCAGACGTGGGGTGCCTCCTCTGAGTTTTGACGATGCCTCAGCCACGATGCTTCTCTACGTTTGTACTGAGTGGGCGGCAGCTGGTTCTAGGGACACCCCGGGAAGGCCGGGAAGGTCGTTTCTGACCATCAATCCTCTTCCGGGAGTTTGGAGCTGGGAGTTTAGGTTGGCCTGGGTCTTGGACAGGCGCCCCTGGGTGGCTCAGGGCTGCGCTGCGTTTAGGTTCCCAGGAGAGGCAAAACAAAAACAAAAAAACAGTACTGGGATTTGTGTGAATCATGTAAACTCTGTGTTGTGCTGCGGGCACCTAGCAATTGTTAGGTATGTGTTGTGGTCGGTGCTTAATAAATATTCCTCGAATAAATGATTTTTACATGAGAAGGAAGGTGTGATCCAGCCTTGGGTGGAAGAATGAGAGGATCCAGCCACGATAAGAAAAGAGGAAGGGAAAAAGGGAGATGAATGGAAAAGGGAAAAGGGAAGGAAAGGCCCAGGGCCCACAGTAAATGTAATGGATTGACTCCTAATAACGATCCATCTAAGAATTTGAGCAAGCTTCTCTATCACTCCTATCCTACTCTTTAAGTTTACCTTTCCGTTACTGAGGTACTAATGACCCAAAATGAAGTTAATGGTCTAAGTGATCCGGATTGATTTTCTTTTCTTGTCCTTTCTCTTGTCTCTGACATTTCAAATTTGTTTCCTCTTCTGTAAAGCAGGAATAATTGCAGCTCTTATGTGGCATGGAAAGATGTTCGTGTACCTATCGTCCTTGAACTAAACATTAGATAGCCAGTGAAAAAGTCTTGGGAAGGAAAAACAGCTGTTTAGTGCAATGCAGTTGTGAGTAAAATTGTATTTCTTCTTTATTATTATAATATTGTGGTCTTATCAAAATCTACAACTATAAAAGTAACAATCTGCACTGACCTACAGGGCTTTGTAAACAGAAGTGTTGTGAATGGCTCAACATTGTCAAAATCAAATAATTTAATCCTTATTAGACAAATTGTATCTTCATTAAAAATAGAAGTAATGTTTCTTTTGTATCTCAGTGCAACTAACCTAGAACCTTACAAATAGACTTTTGGATTCAACCTTGTTTAATGCTTTGTAGTCCTCACATTTTTATTTCCTGTTCACTCCAGTCTCAGGTAACATCAGTCATTCTTCCCATATACTAATTTACATGTACATTCTCATTGAATGTGGGTAACAATCCTTATAAAGGATTAGTATCCCAATTTTTTTGATGTGTAACTGACATATACCATTGTACTCATTTCAGGTGTCCAACATAATGATTTGATATTTGTATGTACTATGAAATGATCACCACAGTAAGTCTAGTTAACATCCATCACATGTTATCCTAATTTAACAGATGAAGCAACTAAGGCTCAGAGCAGTAAAATGTCTTGGCTACCAAACATAGCACCTAGGAGTTTCAGGCCTAGAGACCAGTGCTAAGTTCTGATTCCAAAGCCTATGTCCTTTCCACTATTTTTGCCATTGTCCATTCTATTTACGTTTGGCAGAAAGAGTGGGAGAAGTTTGAAACAGTCAGCGAAGGAAACCAAAGAGTAAATTAGCCAAGGATAAATTTCTTGAAGGCCAATGGCCCTTTACAGTACGGTAAAATTCTACATGATCAATTCACTTTCTTTTTGTTCTTGGTCAAGTACTGCTTCAAAATGATGTGCATATGAATTTCAGCAGACATGGGGTGAAGGGAAAATATTGCAGGGAGAGGGAGCTTCCAAAGAAAAGTACGGAGCCCCAGTAGTGGACTGGCACAACTGGAGACAAGGTGAATGACTTGGTTCTGGGGGAGCCGCTGGACTTCAAGGCAGCTGTTGCCGAGGGTCTTCCTACCCCATGAAAGGGAGTCAGAGGCAGAGAGATTCTGAGATTCTAACACAACTGTTAAGGTCCTGGAGTGCCAAATGTGATTCAATTTAACACCAAAATCCTCCGGTGTGGGGTGGAGTCTTGTGGTCTTGGCTGTCAGGACTATACTTCTGAATCACCAAAGATTTGCTCGCTGTTTCTCAGACCCTCCTGGCTTCTGATTTCTTATTCTGACACCCATTTCCTTCTCCTGGTCTCGGGATTCATTTTTTTTTTCCAGGGCCTTTCTCCATTAGAAGTACTTCAGTCAGATACCCACTGTTGATGGATAGCTCAAGAACTTTAGGAAGCTAAACTTTCCCTGAGTCCGGTCAGGGCAGGTCAGCCTACTCCAAGAGGTCCCATTGGCAGGCCACTAGGAGCACATGTCAGGCTCAGCCTGAGGTGCTGCTTAATTTAAACAAATCCACAAGTGTAAGCTCCATGAGAAGGGGTGCTGGTTTGGGGTCCCATTCTATCTCTAGCGTCTCAAGAGCAAATGAGGTGATTATTTCTTGCTGAATGTTCACCAGGATTCATTTGGGGCAGGTGCTTGTGTGTCAGAGGACAAGTCCAGACGCTTAGCTCATGGTCATGGCTGCTGGATCTTTGAAGAACGCTTTTCCACTTGTATCCTTGGTAACTTTCAGTAGCCATCCTTCCCAATCACAATGAGGTCATCAAGACCCAGCTTAATTTATATATCATTAATTTGTGAATTGGCAAACTGTGATTTTCACCGCCTGAGTTTTATCAGAACACTTCCTATAGTTTTACCAGCTATCTTCCTAATGTACTACCATCTTCTCTCCCTCACTCCTATCCCATTTCTATTCTCCACCACCACCCATTTCTGCTTCCTTCTGATTTCTTCTTTTCTCTCTTAACTAGCTAGAAGACAAAATGTATTTGCTATATTAAAATTAAAACATCAGTGTGTGCAAGGCACTGCAGGGAAACCAGAGGAGAATGAAGTATGACCCATGCCCTCAAGTTCAAAACAAGGAAAGGGAGACACATAGGAACAAAATTATTATAAGAGGCAGAACCCATAAAACAGCAAGAAGGACAAAATTAACTCGAAACCAGGGCAGATCAAAGAAGGCTTTTTAAAAGGAGATATTTGAGCTGAACTTTGAAGGAAGGGTTAGATTTTAGCAGGCAGCCATGGTAAGGATGTTCAAGAATTGGAAACAATGAGAATAAATCTTTGGAAAAACAAATTAGTCTGAGGCATTAGATCATAGGAATGTTAAACATAAAGCTGCAAATGATCCAGAAAATGAGGAATCTGAATTTCTTAAGACAGATAACGACTTGGTCAGAACATTGCATTAGAAAGTTGACCCCTGGGGGCAACATGAGGGATGGATTACAGTGGATTGGAAAGCTAAAGTTTTCCCAAGTGAGATGTAACAAAAATTTGACTCAGATGAGTATAGAGAATGAAAAAGAGGGGAACTGGTATGAGACCTATTTTGGGAGAAATGACAGAACATTGGCAAATGACTGAATGTAGATGATGAGGTTAAACAGTTGTAAGGTAAGTTAAAATTTTTGAGTGATTAAGTTAAAATTATATCTCAGGGAGTAAAGGAAGATGGCGGTGTGAGTAGGGCAGCAGAAATCTCCTCCCAAAACCATACATATTTTTGAAAATACAACAAAAACAACTATTCCTAAAGGACAGACCAGAAGATACAGTATAACAGTCAGGCTACATCTACACCTGCGAGAACCCAGCACCTGGCAAAGGGGGTAAGATACAAGCCACGGCCAGGCGGGACCTGAGCGCCCCTCCCCCCAGCTTCCGGCTGGAGGAGAGGAGTCAGAGCGGGGAGGGAGAGGGAGTCCAGGACTGCTAAATACCCAGCCCTAGCTATCCACACCGGGAATGCAGACACACAGTGCATGGTGTGCTGGATACTAGGGAAAAGGAACAGTAAAAACCATGAGTGGGTTTCCACAGCCAGCACCCCTGGGACAAAAGGAAAGTGAGTGCTTTTTGAAAGTCTTAAAGGGACAGGAGCCTCACAGCTGGATGGAAGCATCCCAGCACACTCAGCCCAGTGGCTGGGAATCCCAGGGAACTCCGGGCGGCAGCACAGCTCTGAGGCTCCTCACAGTGATAAACAGCCTCCTGCCCATTCCCCCTCTGGCTCTGCCACACCATAGCAGAGCAGCAGCCTGAGACTGGCCACGTCCACAGCAGCCACACAGAGCCTCCTCCGTAGCTGCCCGGGCCAGACTCAGATGCCCCATTAGCACACAGCTGCCCAGCACAAGCCACTAGGGGTCGCCGTTCTCACAGGAAGGGAAGGCGACCAACAAGCAGGAAGGGACTTTGTTCTCCCAGCTGACACATGCGCCAACTGCCCACGACTACCTCTATCGCCATGAAAAGGCAGAAGAACTTGATACAGACAAGAATAACCCAGATATCGCCTGAGAGGGAACCTGAGAAGATAGATTTAACCAATCTTCCTGAAAAAGAATTCAAAATAAAGGTCATAACCATGCTGATGGAGCTACAGAGAAAAATGCAAGAGCTAACGGATAAAGTTGGGAGGGAGAATACAGAAATAAAACAATCTTTGGAGGGACTTAAAAGCAGAATGGATGAGGTGCAAGAGGCCATTAATGGAATAGAAATCAGAGAATAGGAACACAGAGAAGCTGACGCAGAAAGAGATAAAAGGATCTCCAAGAATGAAAGAATATTAAGAGAACTGTGTGACCAATCCAAATGGAACAATATCTGCATTATAGGGGTACCAGAAGTAGAAGAGAGAGAAAAAGGGATAGAAAGTGTATTTGAAGAAATAATTGCTGAAAAGTTCCCCAAACTGGGGGAGGAAATAGCCGCTCAGACCACAGAAGCCCACAGAACTCCCAACAGAAGGGACCCAAGGAGGACAACACCAAGACACATAATAATTAAAATGGCAAAGATCAAGGACAAGGACAGACTATTAAAGGCAGCCAGAGAGAGAAAAAAGGTCACTTACAAAGGAAAACCCATCAGGCTATCATCAGACTTCTCAACAGAAACCTTACAGACCAGAAGAGAATGGCATTATATATTTAATGGAATGAAAAAGAAGGGCCTTGAACCAAGAATACTGTATCCAGCACGATTATCATTTAAATATGAAGGAGGGATTAAACAATTTCCAGACAAGCAAAAGTTGAGGGAATTTGCCTCCCACAAACCACCTCTACAGGGTATTTTAGAGGGACTGCTCTAGATGGGACCACTCATAAGGCTAAGCAGATGTCACCAGAGAAAATAAAGTCACAGCAAAGAAAGCAGACCAACCAAATACTAACTAAAGGCAAAAAGTATAATCAACTACCCACAAAAGCAGTTAAAGGAAACACAAAAGAGCACAGAATAAAAGACCCAACATATAAAGAATGGAGGAGGAGGAATAAGAAGGGAGAGAAATAAAGAATCACCAGACAGTGTTTATAATAGCTCAGTAAGTGAGTTAAGTTAGACAGTAAGATACTAAAGAAGCTAACCTTGAACCTTCGGTAACCACGAATCTAAAGCCTGCAATGACAATAAGTAGATATCTTTCAATAATCACCCTAAATGTAAATGGACTGAATGCACCAATCAAAAGACACAGAGTAATAGAATGGATAAAAAAGCAAGACCCATCTATAAGCTGCTTACAAGAGACACACTTCAAACCCAAAGACATGCACAGACTAAAAATCAAGGGATGGAAAAAGATATTCCATGCAAACAACAGGGAGAAAAAAGCAGGTGTTGCAGTACTAGTATCAGACAAAACAGACTTCAAAACAAAGAAAGTAACAAGAGATAAAGAAGGACATTACATAATGATAAAGGGCTCAGTCCAACAAGAGGATATAACCATTATAAATACATATGCACCCAACACAGGAGCACCAGCATATGTGAAACAACTACTAACAGAACTAAAGGAGGAAATAGAATGCAGTGCATTTATTTTAGGAGACTTCAACACACATTTCACTCCAAAGGAAAGATCCACCAGACAGAAAATAAGTAAGGACACAGAGGCACTGAACAACACACTAGAATAGATGAACATAGATGCAAAAATACTCAACAAAATATTAGCAAACCAAATTCAAAAATACATCAAGAGGATCATACACCATGATCAAGTGGGATTCATCCCAGGGATGCAAGGATGGTACCGCATTCGAAAATCCATCAACATCAGAGTAGCTAATTTTAACTATAATATAATAAAATTCAAGAGTTTCAAAATTTTAGTGCACATCAGAATCACTTGGTGGGGGGACACTTGTCCAAAATTCAGATCCTCTACCCCAGAAATTCAACTTTGGAGCCTAGGTTTAAGTTTAGGAATCTGTGTTTTTAATGAGCATAATGAGTTTTTTCTATTCTCAAAAGTCTGCATACTAGACTTAGAAAAAGAGTTAATATTCTTAAAAATTCTGTAATCAAATATTGAATTGGTTAAAATTGTGAAAGGTCGAAGAAGTTCAGAAATACTTGACAAAGGTCGGACAGCAAAGCGAGTGAAATGTCACTCATAAGTGCACCGAGACATTTCCAGCAGATACCTCAATTTTTCTGAACTCTCCTAGGCACTGTTCATCTCCTTAAATTGAACTGCTTGATATTTAATAGTTCAACGTCTAATCATTGTTCAGTGGCAACCAGAAAAGGTTTTAAAACAATTTTATTATAAAGGAAGATAAAAATCAATGTTTCAGTGGGTCTTCATGGAATAATACGCCCTTACTTTGAAATAGCATTTGACTCGCCAATCCTCAAATAAGAAGGAGATATCTTAAAATCTAGTTTTAGAAGAAAAGTAACTTAGAAGTAAATGTTTTTAATAGGACTAGCATGTGAGGTATAATGATAAGAATGTTGAGTCTTGGCTGTGTGACTGGCAGAATCAGTTTTGCTGTGTATTAGTACCGCCTGCAAGTTGAAGAAAACCCTCAGGGCTTATGGGTATAGCTCAACTTCACTGTTCTCAGCAGGAGCAATCAAGTTATTTACAGTCATTTCCACAGGTGACACACTGACAATTGGATTTGTGGAGCAGTGACCCAATTCAGTCAGTCAGAGTTAAAAAACACAAACATGTCACAACACAAGCAAAAACAGGAAAATGACAGTGTGTGGCACACAATCATGAGGAAAGGGAGAACTTTAGGACGGAAGGGGACGATAAAGAACCCCAAGTTCAGCATCCTCATTTATAGGGGGGGAAAAGGAGTTGCAAAAACAGGTGCAAGCTTGTCTTTGACCTTATGATTCCCCAGCTGGAACTGACATCCCCCAGCTCCCAGCTCTGTGGCCCAAGGGTGACTTGGCTCACAATGATGGGGTCCACGCCCACCTGCCCAAGGAGGCAGCCTCTGGGCGTCATTACTGCCTCCGAGGGTGGACCTGCTCCTCCGCGGACAGGGTATTGCCTTGAGTAATCATTTTTAAAAATCCATATCTGTTACTTTTCATTGAACTTATAGGAAAACGTGCTCTCTTTTTTTACTCTCTAGGATCACAAATCTAAAAATAAAACATTGTACTTTGTAATAATGCTTTTTATCTTAACCTGCTTTTATCATTTATTATACAACGAGTGTTCCCAGTGCCTCAGGTCGCTGAATGATGACGCGCTTCCTGCCCTCCCGGCGCTCGCGCCCGCGCTCGCCTTCGGCTCTTGTTCCGCTCCGGGAGCTTGCAGCGGCGGCAGCTGCCGAGGCAGCTGCGGGAGCGGAGTGGTCGCCGGGCGTGCGGGGGAACGCCGGCTGCACTCCAGCGCAGGCACTCTGCAATGAGACAGTAAATGCACCCCCCGGTAAGGAGCACGGCTCAGTCGGGTTTTCCTCTTCCTCCAGCTGCTTGCACGTGGCATGAATTCCTCGTGTCTTTTCCCTCCCCTCTACACAAGGAAAATGTGCGTGGTTTTTTCCTCCCCTTTGCATCCCATGAGCGATGCAAATGCAGGGAAAAAAAACCCACAAAGCACCCAGATTTGATATTCTAGGAGGTCTTTTTGCAGAAAATAAAATAAAATTAATGCATCCGTCTATTGCATATGTATGTTTCACTGCACTCGACCCGGGCGCAGAGCTGTTGGCAAACAGCCCTGCAGCCGGCGCCCGAGAAAGGGTTCCTGGCGGTGGTCAGCCGGTCCCCCTCCGGAGCTCCACCTGGGTTTCCGGTAACTGGGTTTTGAAAAGCGGCCCCACCCGCATAGAGTGTCCCCGCGGCCCCGGTTGGGCCCCAGCGCCAGGAGAGTTGGCGCGGGCGGAGCGGTTTCGTTCCAGCGCTGGCCGTCCCGACTCCAGCGCCACTTTGAAAACAAGTCTCTGTCCGACGCTCCAGGCAAAGACAGCCGCCGGTGCGGAGCCCTTCCTCGCCCAGTCCTGGACTCTCAGACCTGCCGATTCCACCACTCCCCTTTGCCCGGCAATCTCGCCACCAGCAAAGTGCTGGTCGCTGAGGGAAGGGGGCAGTGCCTGGCCGAGAGCCAGAGCAGGATTTGGATTCGGTGCCGCTGGCCTCGCACTGGAAGAGCGGTGCCCTCTCCTTCCTCGGGCCCACGAGCTGAAATTTTGCTCCCACTGGGTGCTGGGGGTTCTGGAGACCGGCAATTCGGGTTTCCCTGAGGGCCTGAAGAACGACGTTGGAGGGCCCCGTATTTTCAGGGGGTCTGGGCTGCGGAGGGCAGGGACCGACCAGTTTCCGGGGCCTCGGGAAAAGCGCGGCGCCCCCGCAGAAGGGACAGGAGCGGTTTGCTCTGGGAATCTGCGCGCCGAGGTCGGCAAGGAGGCGGTGGCGCAGGGCGCGCACGGCGGCTGTCCCCACAAGGGCGCGCGGGCTGCAGCGCGGGCCAGGCCCGCCCGGTGCGGGTGGGGGGCCGGGAGCCGCGGTCGGGGACTGCGCGCCCCGCTCACCCCCTCCCCCGTCCCGCCGAGACGCGGCGTTCGCGCTCGGAGGCGCAGGGAGCACGCCCCCCGTCCCGGCGCTCCGCCGGAGTCGGGCGCCGGGTGCCGAGCGTTCTCCGGGCCCGGGGGTTCGCCTGGGCGCCCCGCAGGGCGCGGGAGCTCACTCCCCGAGCAGGGGGAGGCGCCCGGGTTAGCGGATCCGGGCCGAGGGCCTGGCTTGGGGCCGCCCCGGGGCCGAAGACCAGCCCGAGCCTCTTATCCCTCCCGGGCGGTGGCGGCGGCGGTAGCAGCGCCCGCGACTGCGTGCCCAGCCCTGGCTGCGATGCCAGCTCTCGGAGGCGAGGTGAGGGGGGCGTTTCCAGAAGTTGGGGTTTCAGGGGATGCGTGGGAAAACTTGGAATTTTGCTGCCTGTGAGGAGCTGCGGTGATTCGGGGATAGGGAGCTGATTCAGAATCCCTGGGTCTCGCCGTGAAAATTGATCTCGTCTTTTCCAGAAGAGGAGAGAGGAATGAGCTGAAGTTCTCGGCGTTGTCCAAGACACAGTTAAACAGGAGGGTAGGGATGATGTCCTGGATAAGTGGGCCCAAAATTAAAAAAAATTACAGCCCCCCTGGGGCTCTAAGTACCACCTACTTTGGCTTTTACTAGTGCCCGGGTGCACTGCGTTGTGGCATCCGTCAGGTTGCGCGCTATCCTTTCTATTCCAGAGCTTGCAGTCAGCGACCTCTTGGAAGCCAGGCGGTGGGGAAACTTTGTTTTTTAAAGAGACTGTGGTCTCTGCTTTGTGAAGGGGCAAGGGAAGGGCGTGTGTGCTGACCTACAATCCGCTGAGTGCACGAATGTGCCAGTCTTTTTCCTTGGCGTCTTACTGAAATGATGCCATAGTATTGAGGTCATGTCAGCACTTGGGGCTTCATCATTGGAGAGAATTCAAGGGATCACAGAAGTGGGGGTGGGGTGGGCGGAGATGGGGGGAAGCTTTCTTCTGGGAGATAGGCTCCCTGATGTCAGGGATTAGACCGGTTCTTCTTTTTCCACCTCATTAAGTGCCCCCAGGGTGAATGTCAGCCATTGAGTTAGAAGATTTAATTTTCTTTGATTGCTGGTTTCGGATATCTATGGGAAAACCGGGGCAGTCGAAATAACAAATAGCCTTGAGAGAGGAGGGATATCTGCATGAATGCTCTCTTCTTTTTCACTGAGTCCAAGAATTGTGGAAAACACCCAGAGTCCAAGGTGTGCTTATCTAAAATTAGCATAACCAATTTTGGAGAGAAATCAGCTGCAGAAAATGCCCATCTATATTGTGAGGTTCCCAGTCTTAGAGGTGGTTCCTTGAATCGCAGAAACATAGGCCTCCTTGGATTGGGCAAGTCACTGTTTTTGCTCAGCCTTTGTACCCACTCATTATCAAGGAAATAGTAGAGGTATTAGAGCCTCCATTTTTGGCATTGATATTGTGCTTCAACCTCCAAAGGGTAAGTGAACTTGATCCTGTTGGATGGGGATATTCTTTACAGGTATAGGCATATTGGTGTGTGTCTTGTATTCACTTACTGTCAAACTTACTTGCGCAGGGTTTTTCAAACATTTCCCCAAAGTATTTTTAGGGGAAGTCAGGTTTTAGAAAAATGTATGTGTGTGTGGTTTTTTTCTAGCCCAGTTTCTATCTTTCATACCTCAAAATAATACTGATTCTCCTGCTCCTCCAACCCTCACTCCCAGCAAGCAGATGATTAGTCCCCCAGAGCTGTTAAGGATGGTTACAAGTCATGAACAATCTAAACTTTCACCAACTCAGAAAAAAAAAAATACATCTAAGCATGTATTTATTCATTTTAGCATTATGCTAAATATGTCACTAATTTTTGTGTATGTGCTAGATGTTATATAATAGAAATTATCTTTAAAAAAGTTTTCTTAATAAAGTGGAAATAAAAAATTAAAGTTTTATTGCAAACCCTACAATGTTCATTCCCAAGTTCATTGCCTTAATATTTATCTAGTTTCTTATGCCTGTCTTAACAAAATGTTATAAATTGTGCCTTGTTGCCTCTTGACTGATTCTTATTACAACTTCATGGTTTGATGAAAGTTCTTCTTTTTTTTCCTTAAGAGGATATTGTCACTTCAAAAGGTTAGAAAATGATTATAAGTTTTGAAGAGCTGTCTGTCGATTTACCGGGCCGTGTTCTGTGTTGTGCGTGTTGTGGTGTGGCGTGCCCAGACTCCTGGAGCGGCATCTGAAACTTGTGATCTGTGACATGATTGTCCAGAACCTTTGAGTCATAATGTTTTCTTGGAGATTTGGGGTGGTGTGTGGCCAATACAGGAAGTACTAAAAAACAGTTAAATAATTGTAAGTTATTTTTATTGGTTCCAAGAAATTTTAAAGACGAGGAGGAAAACTTAATAAGCAGGACCAGAATTACAGCTTAATATATCCAACTGGTACCTTTAATTACAGCACTTTCTTCCAAAACTTTTAATCCTATTACTTTTATTTAATAAGGAGACTAGTTAAAACATAAGCCAAACAGAACTGTTACAAATAATGGAGATAAATGGTGGGTATAACCACGTTTTGCCTAAAGTTAAAATAGTTAAAGAATCTGAACTGTCAAACTCCCCCTACAGGCCCTTCCAACACCCCTCTTCCCAGTAAGTGGGAGATTTTGAGATGGAAAACAATCTTTGAAGGGATGGAGACAAAAAAACAAAAAAAAGCAAAATGCTTAGGTAGGTTTCTCCTGTTCATTCACCTTCCTCGCAACGTTTGGCTCAGTGGCAGGTGCCATTTGAATGAGAACTTGTGGACAAGGCTGGGCACAAAATATTTTGGTTGTAAAAGCCTTGATATGTCACCTAGAATGGTGAATTAGGGTTGGGCTCATTTGCCACCCATTTCATAGGGAATTTTCAGAGTCAGTGCCAAGACCATAGTTTTGTTTTTTCCTTAACCAGCAATTTAATTTCGTCCAGTGATGCTGTTCTGAATACGTATAAAAGTAATGAATATTCGTGTTTCCTTTCACTTTGCAGCCTCAGTCTTATCAAATGAATTTATCTTAAGTCTTCTATTCTCTTACTCAGCACTTGGTTTTGAGGCTTCCCATGTACTTGCTGCTAAGAAGACATCCCTGACCCTCACCACACACACTGAATTCCAAAGGGATGATACTCTTTCATACTTTCTCTATCTAATAGATTAGGGTGGGAAGTGAGTGTGTGATTAAATAGTATTTGAAAGACAACACTATAGAAAGGTGAGCAAAGGATATGAACAGGCAATCCCCAAAAGAAGAATTACAAGTGGTCAATAAACATGGGAAAATATTCTCAACCTCCCTAATGGTTAGGGAAATGAAAATGAAAAAACAAAGACACTAGTTTTCTGTCTATGCAATCGACCCACTCTTTAAAAGATTGGTAACATCCTTTATTAGATGTTTTAGGGGCAACTCTTTGGTAGGA